AGTAGCGTATCATCTCTTGGAAAAAAGTTTCCCCCCTATCATCCGTAGTGAAACACGCTGGCAAACACGGTCTCTCATGGTCGACTCTGTTGCATCCTGAATCATCCGGTTCACTGATTAGGTAGCCTGTGTGGTGTTCTAGGGGTAACGAGCTCTACGTTTCTAACTTGTAATTGAAGAGGGGGGAGGAGAGGAACGTAACGTGTACTAATTTTAATTCTGATTTTAGGGTGCAGGGTGTTATGTTGTTTGCGGATGGTTAGATCCCTTTTGGGACTGGCGAGAGCAAGGATGAGAAAATGTGCGCTCCTCTTGAGGCTTGATAATTGCGAGGTCAGAGAGAGAGAGCGGAGAGCGTGTGGTGAATGTTACGCACAACGATTTCATTTGTTCCTTTTAAAACTCTGGTTCTGGGGCTTTTCTGGCAGAAAAGCTGGAGAGCCTCGGAATCTCGGCGTTGTGTCGGTTCAGAATGTTCAACATTTCTGTCGCAACTGTCACGACATATACAATGTATTATACTAACCGATGCTAGGTAGCCAATTTATATTTTTACAGTCGTGTACGCGTAGAACCGAGTGCCAAAATTTTTGGATCCGCAATACCTTACGAAATGGGTAAAAATCGTCCGAGATCCGTGGCCACGGCTCGTACAGCAGTTTCACGAGTTCTCATTTATCGTGACACGAACGATTTAAAATTTAATTAAGATTCAGACTCAGGACATTCGTTCGTAGCGGCATGGTTCGATTACAAACGTCGCAATTGCAGCAGAGCCAATTCTAAAATTGCCCCCACGAGCTACGAATAGTTGAAATGCGCCGGAAATATATCCCGTACATGAGAAAACAACATTGTTCCCTCGCTGCGACTGATTTATTGGCTCTTACTGCATCATTTTATCGGACTTCTCGTCTCGTCTAGGTGTCTAGATTATGTCGATTTTTGTTACGTAAAGGCGAACTAGTTCTAGAAAATTGTAGAACCAAGCCTCGGAATAGGACAAGCTATTTGTCAAGTGAAACTTCTAACAGAACTCTGTGCTTCTAATTCTAATAGAACCAGTTTTCATCATCGCTAGAGAACAGATGAAAAAATAACTCTCCCGCAAGTAATAATTGCAAAAAGAAACGTAACGTAGCTTGTACGGTTTAGGGAAAGGGGAGAGGAATTTCTAATGTGATGCAATATTACTCAACCAGTTACTGGACTATTATATCAAAGTACTCTCGCTTTTCTCTCGCTGTGATCACGCAACACGCGTGTGCACGCAGCGATAAGGTCGATTAGATAGCCAATTTTCCGGCGGAGCCCTCATTTTCATTCATAACCCACGCCTTCCTACATCCTTATGCCTATTTGCATCGTCACATTCGTATCATTTGCGAAAATCAGAGAATCGCTCGTTGAAACGAAAAGACGGATATTTTTCAAATGCTGATCAACTTATCGGATTGTTACTGTAATTTTACGACTCGTTTTTCTTCTTTCTTTCTAATGTAAAATCCAGTTGGTAAATTTATGGTTCACGGACTAACTTCTATTATCGCGTTGCTCGCAAATCAGAGAGAGGAGAGATAAGCAATCAAAAAAGTGACAACGCGTGAGACATGAATGAGGATCTGTTCCGGGGGAGGGTTAATCTCAACTCAACGATCATAAATCGTATCGGCTTATCGCTCATCTACGAAATTTAATGTCAGCCTCTTATCTTCGAGAGCAAATATCTCCTGATAATTCCTTCACCGCAGCAGAATATCTGTATGTTGATCTCTCGGCGACTTTAACGAAATGACTCAATACGTGTAAATACGTGTAAATACCGTTACGTTTTGATTTTTAATTTACGATACTCTGATTTCTCTCGAGCTTCTTGCCTCGCAGAGACGAGGCGAGGCGCACTCACTTTGCCAACAATTGGACACAGTTTAAGAATATATTCACCGAGCGCACATTCTCCCGGCTCGTGTTACGAATTCACCAGTTTAGAAATAAGAAATTACTCTCGTTGGCCGTTCGCTGTTATAGCTTCGATTGTTGGCAAGTTGGGCTGTTACGTGTTACCCAAGTCTAAAAATTTCGCGGGGGGCCTTATATGCTTTGATTATGTAGGAAACGTTAACAAACAGATTTTCGATAATGGGACGAAACTCGAGTGTACGTGTGTTGTATTTTCAGGGTATCCTGGGATTCTACAAAGGCATTATTGCCTCCTACGTAGGGATAAGCGAGACTGTGATACATTTTGTGATCTACGAGGCAGTGAAAGCCACATTAGCGGCGTACAAGACCAACGGGGCGGACGATCGGAAATCGTTGCGCGATTTCTTAGAGTTCATGGCGGCAGGTTCGTTCTCGAAAACGATCGCCTCCACCATCGCTTACCCCCATGGTAAGATCAACTACATTGCGCAAACAAAAACGCCACGGCGAGATGCAAACTTCTGCTTCCTCCTTCAATTATGCTCTATTTTTAAGGCATTGCTCAGTGAGTTGGCTGTGGTTCAAGAGCAGAGCACCAAGTTTGCGCGATCGTTATCCGCAAAAGCCTCTCTAGTTCTTGCAAACATCCTGCGCACTAGTACGACACGTCTCCATCATGCGTGTGATTGTGTTCAATGTATCGAAATCTCGAGAAGGGAACTAGTTGCTTGGAGAAAAGATTACTTTCTCTCTCTCTCTCTCTTTCTCACTCTCAACAAGAGAGCATTTTTGCATTGATCAAACTTTCGTTTCCCCTGGCAACTAAATTCCTAAAGTCAGAAAAGAATAATCACTCTATCGTTGGACAGCTTCAAGCCACGTTTAATTCTGACTTCACGTTTCTGCGTGAATTGTTTCAGAGGTAGCGAGAACGAGACTTAGAGAAGAAGGTACCAAGTATCAGACCTTCTGGCAAACGTTGAAGATCGTGCACGCTGAGGAGGGTTTACACGGCCTGTATCGTGGCCTCACTACCCATCTGATCAGACAAATCCCAAACACGGCGATCATAATGGCAACGTACGAGGCGGTGGTGTACTTGCTAAGCAGGCACTTCCACGAACGATCATTGAGCAGCCTGGCTAACAGCGGTGAGACCAAATTCTACGCAGAGCCGAAGGGTAAACGAGAATTGGCCTAGGACTTGCTCACGGCCCCTGAATAAAGGGCCAACACGACTCGTGTTCGAGTAACAAGTCTTCGGGGAAAGTTGCGTCTGTTTCGAAAAGCAAAAAAGAAAAAGAAGAGAAGAAAGAAGAGAAATGAACAACAACAACGCCGTCCAAGAGAGCGTCCAGACGCCGGGTGAGAAGCCAAAGTCGGACACGCGTTTTCAAGTTTGGGGTCACGGGGAGGGCCGGCCAGGTCCGATTGAGCACGTGGAAGGTAGCAAAATAAGTGTCACAGCTGTGGATTGTACGCTGCTGTGTACTCTGTAAGCGTAGCAAAAAGTAGTACCTTCCTCCTTTCAGGTAGCGTACGCAACGTACGCGTGGAACAGCCTAAAACTGTTGTCTGTCTGTACCTTCGTCGAGACACATTCATACATACACACACACGGGAGGCAAGGATCACGAAGCTGGATTAAACGAGTCGGTTGCATAGGCTCAGAGTGCGCCAAGAGTGAGATTATACCACCTTCTCTCTAACTATTAATCTGCTAACTGGCGCGCCTTTCACAGTGGAAATATTATTGCTTTCGACAAACAGTCAATTTCGTTCCTTAGAGAAGTGTAAATATATTTTTAAAAGATAGGATTAGGAAACTAGGGGAATGAATTGATTTGATTTACATCTTAAAAATTATAATCTAATCTCTTAATCGTTGTTGAACTATGTGAGTGAAGAATATTGCTAACTTTGTCTTTTCCAGTTAACAGATTAATGGAATCGTTGAAGTTATGTTCGCTGGTAATTACAGAGGTGCCAAGAAGACCCATTTAGGGCGTTTATAGTTTCTGGGAACCTTTGAAACACGGGAGAGATTAGATTTTTATTGCGTGGCATTCAAGAACTCGCGACTGATCTAATTTTGTACTGATTAATGATAGTAGTGTCTTCAGACGCGTAACGCAACCTAGAGAAGAATGGCCTGTTTAAAATTAGAACACCTTGAAATTCACGATGCTCTCGTGTTTCAGTACGGTGGAAACAACTCATTTCCATCTAATGCAGTATTGCGGCCCCTTCAGAGTAATGTGTACACTTGATCTAAACCAAAAGTTACTGTTAAGTACGATGTGAG